TTTCTTTGTCTTAGTTTCCCGCCAGTCATCAGTTGTCATGGACACTTATCTAATCATCACACCTGTGCGTTATCATCTCATTATCACTGTGTATTTAAGACGTTCTCGCTGCGTCCCAATTCGCCTACTTGTACTACGCCCTAAAAGTATGTACTCTTTTTGTAAGCTCTGTCGCTTAGTTACGTGCATCCTGTCACCGTAAACTGCCCTGTCAATCAGCTTGTCACAATTAAAATCCTCCATTCAATCTAATTTAATTTCCTACCAATTCGTAGAGAAATGTTGTAGCACGTTGATCTGCCAGTCGCGGGTCTTTCATGCGGAGACTCTCCTCATGTGTTTGCAATTTGAATATAATGATGCATTTAAAAGTTAATGGCTAAACGTATCTTTACAAAAGTTCACAATGCTGCTGCAAATGAAATATAATGTGGACAACATTGAATAAAAACATTTTTGTCAGGTTAGATACTGATAATTAATCACTCAAACCCCTTTATCTAAACCTCTCTACATAACCGCTGAACTCGCACATCCTCCATGTCTGTAGTTTTTTAAACACTTTTTACTCGTGTTTGTAGTTCTAATCGAATCCTCGTCCAACGCGCAATGGGTTGTGGGCAATGTTAGCCGTTAGAGTGTGCAACGATCTGCACTTCGGATTCTGACCGGAAATAGTAGATCATCCGGTTATCTTTGGAATACTCATTTCAACATACTACGATTTGGGATGTACTAATTCTATTTTCGAATACTATTTAGGACGGATAGTATGCGAATTGGGATGCACAGTCTGTTTCACCCTTCAGTTGTCGGTTGTTGTTCGTGTTAGCGTGTAGACAAGCTGTTATTTAGCCTTCATCTTTGATGATTACCTCCCTCAGTTACAGTTGTTGTTTGTCAGACATAGATCATGCAAAAGATCATTAAAACATAATTATTTCAAAATTAAAACTTTTTAATTTGACATTATTGCAAAGTGAACTTTTCAAAACTGTGTTAAGAGTTAAAAAATACAGGCCTGGTTTCACAGACTTAGATTAAAGGAGAACTCCGGCGCAAAATGAACCTTTGGTCTAATTACACATTGTTACCTAGTCAACCGTTATCTGAGATTTGTTTTCATGATTATCGAATGTAAATAGTTTTATCTCTACAAACAGTTTAGCCTATAAAGTTGTATAACGCTAGTATATTGGGCATAGTGTAATGACAAATAAAAATCGCTTGTTAATACCACTAACAAGGCTCAAAATAGCCCCACACTAACACGGTAGCATAATGAGGGTCCCTACCTTCAAACCGAAGCATTGAGAACTTTGTCAGTGTCCAGACAGTTTAATAAGAAGATATTTTAAACATACAGTCAACTTCGCGTATACAGGCAGAATCCATCTTTGAAATACAGCCTTTACCAGTCGATCTACGAACGCCGATCCAAGTGCGCTGGTGAGATGTGAACGAGCTATAAGTTGTGATAAGGTGAGCGCGAACAGCAGGCTTGGATCGGCGTTCGTAGATCGACTGGTAAAGGCTGTATTTCAAAGATGGATTCTGCCTGTATACGCAAAGTTGACTGTATGTTTAAAATATCTTCTTATTAAACTGTCTGTACACTTACAAAGTTCTCAATGCTTCGGTTTGAAGGTAGGGACCCTCATCATGCTACCGTGCTAGTGTGGGTCTATTTTCAGCCTTGTTAGTGGTATTAACAAGCGATTTTTATTTGTCATTACACTATGCCCAATATACTAGCGTTATACTAGCTTTATAGGCTAAACTGTTTTTAGAGATAAAACTATTTACATTCGATAATCATGAAAACAAATCTCAGATAACGGTTGACTAGGTAACAATGTGTAATTAGACCAAAGGTTCATTTTGCGCCGGAGTTCTCCTTTAAGCCAGGATTAGATTGGGGGCATGTCATTAAAGTATAACGTAGACTCACTGTATTCCAGACATCACGGTATTCCGGACACTAGACCGTTTCCCGCAAATTCTATAAATAAACACTTCACGCTCATTGCATCTATATATATCCGTGTCATCTTTGCCTCATCCTCTTTCGCTTCCGACCAACCCAGCTTATAGTTGTCAAAATGTATGCGTTATATATTAAAAATGACTCCTTCTACTTGTCCGAAACACAGTGAGTAGAAATTTTCAGCCGTCCGGAACACCGTGAGTCAACGTTACCCGTTTTCCCACCGGTCACAATTGTGACCGCATCTTTTTTCTTATTTCTGGAAGCTCTAAAAATTTTGTTATTGGCTTTGGGCAAGAAATGAAATGAAAAAATAGATTGTCTTGATTAAAATCTATTAATGTCATGTGACTATTGTGAAAGGTCACATGACCAGATCAGTTTACTTCCTGCTTGCACATCTAGAAGAAGATGTCTTCCTCGGACTACTACAAAAAGTATGTAAAACATCTTAATTAACAGATAGAACTATCATATTTCATACATATATTCTTTAAAGGGTCTGCTACTTATATATTTTGAGAATTATACTCCTGCATATATATTTTGCTCATAAGACGTGTAAATTTGTTAACGGTCACTAATGTGACCGGTAGTATTACACAGTGCTTCAATTGAAAAGACAGGTATTGGCTGTTAATCCTACACTGAACGTATGCCACACCTGTGAGGTGGATGGATTATCTCGGCAAAGAAGAAGTGCTCACTAACACAGATTTAGACAGATTTGTGAACAATATTTGAGAGAAATAGGCCTTTTGTGTACATAGAAAAAGTCTTATATCTATGAGTTCAGATCATTAAAAATGGGGGCAAAAAAAAAAAAAGTGTTGCATTTATAATTTTGTTCAGTGTAGTTATCAGTATCAGCCCATTCACCAGGTAGACTATTGAATGGCGATGCAAAGGTGAACTATCTGTAGGATTAGGCAGATGTTCATGAGAACCAATTGGTGTGCCCCACACATGATCACAAACAACCCTTTCTACAACGTACGGCCCATCTTCAGTGCACTGAATGAGTGCACACACATCTCCCTCAAACTGGCCTGGGACAGGGCCCAAGTGTAGTCATGGTCTAGCCCATAGGGGTTTAGCCGAACAAGCAGAAGTTCCTCCAGGCAGGGGCGTCATGCAAGCCAAAATTCTGGGGGGGCACAATCTGAGACGTTGCAATTGTTTTCTGACGGGTGATATGGATCATGTTAGGAGGGGTCAGGGGGTTTCTCCCCCTGAAATTTTTTTAATTCTGGCTGCGAAACATACTATTTCAATGCAGTTTGGGAGGGACAGAAATACCTTAACGGAGCTAGCAGCAACCCTCCTCTATCTGAGGACTAAGTTAAAGTATGTGTATCTGTGCATTATAAGATGTTTTGAAGGCCAAAAAAACTGGATACAAACAGCTTTAAAACCATGTCACGCAGCTGATTATTTTTCTCTCCTCATCTCCATCACACTTTTTCTCTTTGTTTTTCTCTTGCCCTGTCTCTTCCCCTCCTAAAGTTGAACTTTGACTGATAGGCTTTTCATTTTTGTCTGTCAGTGAAGAAAGTAAACATAGGGTCAACTGATAGGTTGATTTATGAATCATTTTCTCAGACGAGTTACTGAAAGCTACTAGGAAAGCTAGGTAGCCTAACTAAGTTTATTAAATTCATTCACAGTACATATTCATTATTGATCTTATACCTAATACAGGGCCGTAGACAGGGCTTTATAATCAAAGAGGTCCTAAATTTGAGGTGGGTAGGGGGTTCAAATTTTTATTTCTCTGATATGTGCATTTCAAGACGTTTGAAGGCCAAAAAAAGGATAAGAAATAGCCTTAAAACCATGTCAGCGGACAGTAGATTATTTGTCAATACCTGCTCTCACTTCTTATCCATCACTCTTTCTTTTTCTCTCAGTCTCCTGATCTTGCCTTCCCCTCCTAAAGCTGAGCTTTTTTAATTTACTTAAGGCTACAAATTGTACTATATTAATTCTCAATATGTATACATTCATTATTAATCTTGTGCCTGACAAGGAAAACGGCTTTTCCACTCACAATGACAGTAAACTAGCCATTACGAGTCACGTTACAGGCCTATTTTCAGTTCAAAATGGCGAAATTAGACAAAAGTATATTCGTGTGCCTGATTATTTTTGTCATTCGTTTAACATTTATGAACTAAAAAAACTGTCAAATATGAAATGTTTAGTTTAGCAACTTACATCTCGCACTTGACTGTACACTGAAGCGTCGAGTGAGTCTGAAATTCGCGCTCAGCTTCTGTGAGCATAAAGCCCGCCTCCTTTGATTTCATTGGCCATCTCAAATATTCTGACATTGACGAGCAGTGACAGACCAATGAGGCTCAGATGAACACACACGCGCGCACACACACACACACACCCTGTCCTGTGTCCTCTGTTTCTGACGTGCGCTCTGCTCGGCGCCGCTGCGGATTGAAGATGAACAACGTGCTGAATCTGATTATAACAAGTAATTTAAAAAAATTATCAGGGAGGAAAAATCTGAGGGGGCACGTGCCCCCTCACTTTGAATGGGCATGACGCCACTGCCTCCAGGGTATAACTTTGTACATGACAACCTTTTCACCTCACTAAGCCTCCTTCACCAAATGACAAAACAAGGTTTTGGATGTCTTAGAATGTGTTGTGTAAATAGGTCTAATTGAAGAATTTGTATGAATTCTGACTATGGTGTTTCCCACCGGTCACTTTTGTGACTGAGTATAAAACCTAATATTTCACTAACTTAACCAACATAAAATCAAAGAGGGCATAACGTTTGAGTTTTAGGGAGGTCCAAGGAGTAAAATGCATGTACTCAAATTGCAAGAAAAAATTTGGGATTAAACGGGTTAAGTACACATTCAATACAATTAATAGAGATATCATTTGTGTAGATCAACAAATCTGAGAGACAGTGTCATAACTGTTAAAGTACACAAACAACCTTATCTTGTTTAAAAACACAAGCTCCCATTCAAGCAAAATCACACACCTCCTGCGATACTTCACAAACGTGGAGCCTCTGTCGTCCTCCTGTTCCAGAGCTCTGCTGTGAGGGTGTGGAGGCCTGTCGTGGCTGTACCTGTGTCGCTGACTCAGGTCTTTAGTGCTGCCTTTCCCCTCAGCTGAAGGGAAGTCATAATATCCCTTCCTCTTAGCCTTCAGTCTTAGCTTATTCCTGTAGTGCTCAATGTCTGACTTCTGTTTCAGAGCCAAATTCACCTGTATACACATAGGTAGAAAGAGAGGAGGTGGAATGGCTAATCATCCACTCAAAAAAACACCCATTAAAAATGTGTCCCAAATTGATTTCCCATAGGTAAAGTGATATTCTAAAATAAATCTGTGTCAGGTTTCTTTGAAACCCAAATTTGATAAATTAAGCAAGCGAGAGTGTCCATTGAGATATACGAATACATTTTTTGTTGACTAGCCTATGCCTATATGTTAAATAAAGTCTTTGTATAGTTACAGTCTTGCAGAGGTTTGTTTCATGCCGGTCTGTGTAAAACCTGTGCGCCCTGACTCACAGAAATTGTGTAACAGTCAGCCAATTAGCAATGATCTGGCAATTTCATATCCACAGCCCTTTTTTGTGTGTAAAATGCATCAGAAGGTGTCAGTGGTTGCTGTCTGAGAATGTCTCTAATCAAATTAACTCTTACCTCTCCATTTAATATGGCAGAGTCCTGACTGCGGTCGGAGGATGCGGGGTGCGAGTAGGTGGGTGGAGCTGCCATTGGTTTTATGGAAATGAGCTGAAGTGATCCTGAAGAACTATCATACTGATCTGCCAAAAACAAAAAATTTAGATTGTCATGGCAGCAACAAGCTGGCAAAGAACTACATCAGATTATACAAGCAGAATATAGACAAATTCGCTTCCTGGTTATGTGACAGTAGCCCTGGCTAACATTATCACTTGCAGAAGATTAATTATTTCTCTTTGCTCTCATTTCCTATTTAAAATGAGACAAAGTCTAAGCATAAGATTTCAGTGTAACTTTTGATTTTATTGGGTCCATTTATCAAGACAGATTAGTTTATAGATGTCCACTTCTAGGAGAATATAAATTATAAGAATATATATTTAATATACAAATATAGGCTATTCATATGGAAGAGGGACAAAAATACTGAAGAATAAGCAAAAGTTTACATTTTGTCCAAACTATAAAGAATTGCACTCAATGTGAACAAAATAACAAGTATCTGTGGAATGGATCTTACAGCCCATTTTCTTTTATAATAATAGTTTACCATACAAAAAAATTAAATTATATCATCATTCACTGATATTATTTATACTTCATAGATCAATAATATGAAGTAGAATGTAATGACTCTTCATGCAGCTCTTTTACATATCACAGTTCATAGTAGCCACATCTGTCAAGCACTGATAATGTTTAACCCTCAGGTGCTCTTCATTTGGGTGCAACACTTGTTATCTTCCCGGTCAGAAGTCACATAAAAAAAATACAAAGATTTTTTTTTCAAATTTTTACAAAATATTTCTTTAATTATTGCAGTATTTTCAGATTATATATATATTTTTAAGTCAGATTAGCGCCATCTGTTGTGGAAAATTAAATAAATCATGTTATTTCATGGGTTCACCACTAGATGCCTGTATAGCTCTCTATGGAGAGGCTTGTGAATTCTCTAATTGTTTTTGGACCACATTACTTACTTAAAGTAACAACAGGTCGTTTTTTGCTCTCGGGCTCCCCCTACAGTTGGGAAACAGTATTGTCCTCTACTACTGTCGTAAACTCTGTCATCCTACATGCACGTGCAATTGTTGACAACCAGGATAGCCCTGAACACTGTAGGAGGAGGTCACATGCAGGTGTTCTGCTTGCGTCGCGTGTGAAATGTCTTCATCCCAGGTACAGTGGCATATATTTCAGCATGTCATATGAATATAATTTCATGGGTTTTATTTTTTTTCTAACGACAAATGATCGCGATGCTCACGTTTACAAGCCAGCGTCATTATAGTAGCCTAGTCTATTGGTTACCGTTTTACTGGATCTATATGATACTTGAATGCAATGTTTGAGTGGTTGATAATAACCATATATCGTCAATATTATAATATCAACCTACCATAAATGAATCTGCAAATTTTACAAATCGATTTGCATTATAGCTTGAGGCAAGACAAATAAACAAATATCACAGACATGTTAGGTATCCTAAAATATGATTTTATTAATAATCTTCCTCCTTTCTTTGTACATGTTGAGTAGACTACACTTTTTAGGTCAAACATTTGCTATTTGCATTTCATCGATTGCAAAGTTCAAATCAGAACGAGAATACTAGCGATAGCTAACCATCAAAAACTAGAATATCGTTTACTAGCTACCAGATTGATAATTCGCTACTACTCTAGCGAATTAGAGAGGTTAGAGAGAGGCATTCTTTTTTCGATGGAGGGTTCGATGCTCCCTGCACACGCAAAGGTCTCTCGCTCGCTTTCTCTCTCTGCCGTCCGCGCGCGTTGGAGCACAGTCTCTGTCTCGCGTGCGCGCTCGCTCTAGATTCCGGGAGATTTGAACTAATTTGCGGTATAACTTGTCGATCACGAGTGGCTCAACAGGTAGATCTATAGATAAACTCATCTTTCAGGGATTTGACCGACCGGGTTGACAATTTAGCGTGAGAAACCGGGGCTGTGGCGTACGTGTGAGCGTGTGAAACCAATCAAATGCGGGTGTCTCACGGCCAATGCGTGAGAGTTGGCAGCTCTGCAATGTTGATCCTCGTTCTGCCTTTAACGCGATCACTTTCTCTTTTTCTCTTTTTGCTTTGCTCCGATAAAACCTTTGCTTTCTTGTTTTTCTGTGCTGCTTCGGCCATGACTAAAACATTTGGCTCGCAAGTCCGATTTTAAGGAAGTGGGGGTGGTGGTGGAAGTGAGGTATATGCCGTAAAGCAGTCGAATTTTGTAGTTCTCTTTGTTCGCCGGTTACTACCCGAAACCCAAAGTTTAAAAGTACGATTAAAAACGCTACAGACCCCGTCAGGCTATGGCAGACGTGTCATTCAACCTATTGTAAGTCGATGTACCATCACAAGAGACTTGGAAATATATTATGAAGGTTGAAAAGTTACCTGTTGTTACTTTAAAAAAATTAAATAAATTTGATGTGAAGTGTACACGTTTTTGCATTATTACTATAGTCAAACCTGAATACAGAGAAAGCATTTGGTTACAGGTAACATTACAATTCAATAAACAAATAAAAAAATAAACAGTAATGCTTTATCACAGCTTATTATTATTTATATTATTATTATTTTAAACATTATATTAATTATTATTTTAATAATTATATATATGGACATTCACAATCTGGATATTCACAATCTCCATGACCACGTCCACCTATGTAGAGACAGTGTGAATGTGTTTGCTAAAAATCTTAAAGATGTTGCCCTTGGCCGAACCCCTGGCAGTCCCTCAAAGAGTCAGAGAGAATCTAACAACCCTCAACCAACGAGACACTTCATCCCAGCATCAGCACAAAGCGTCTTCCCGCCGCATCCATCTGAGCCCTGGAGACTCCATCACCCTGCCCCGCTGTACCCACACCCTGAACTTCAACACCCACGCTCCCGGCCTCCACACCCACATCCCATACACGAACATCACCGTCAGGTTTAGGGTGGCCATACGTCCGGATTTTGGCCAGACAGTCCGGATTTTAAGCCCCCTTTCCGGCGTCCGGCGCAGCCTCAAGCCAGACACTCATTTGTCCTCCTTTTTGGAGTTGCGCTGAATTGTTTAAAAAAATTAACCTATAAAAATCCCGCATAATGATAGCGGCTCTCTGATGGCCGTAAATTAGTTCAAGTCTCTTGGAATCTAGAGCCGCGCATGCGAGACAGAACATACTGTATGTGCTCCAAACCGTGCAGCGCGCGGCAGAGAGCGAGAGAATCCGCAGCTCCTGGCCTCACACTACCCCACTAGAAGAGGGTCTACAGCAGAACCTGGACACCCTGCATCAGTTCTGTCAGACCTGGGCCCTGACCATTAACCCAACTAAAACAAAAGTACTACTAACGTTTCAGAAAAGACCCAGATGTCAGGGAAAGAGCCACAATTTCACCCTTGGTATGACCAAAATTGATCATATCACAAGCTACACATACCTCGGGCTAAAAATAAGTGCAACTGGAAACCTAAATTTGGCTGTGAATGAACTGAAAGAGAAAGCAAGAAGGGCCTTCTATGCCATCAAAAAAATCTATCCAAATACTCAAAACATTACAATCAGTCATAGAGCCAATTGCATTATATGGCAGTGAAGTTTGGGGCAAGTTTGGGGCAAATGAGACAAAAATCTGATTGAAACCCTGCATGTCGAGTTCTGTAAGAGTATCCTAAGAGTATAGAGGAACACACCGAACAACGCATGCAGGGCAGAATTAGGCCAATACCCTCTATTAATACATGTTGAGAAACGAGCCATCACATTTTGGAAACATCTAAAAATGAGTGACACAAACTGTTATCATTTTAAAGCCCTTAAAAACCATGAAAAGAACATTGAGAAGAGCCCCCTCCTTCAGCTGGTCCTGAGGCTCCACAAACAGACTAACATGACTAACAATAATCAGCCTCAGGACACTGACACCCTCATCCACACAATCCGGCCCAACCACATTATAAAAGCACAACAAGAGAATTACCTGACCTATTGGACTGAAACAACAGAAAAACAAAGTAAACTTGAATGTTATTTGGCCCTAAATAGAGACTACACCACCGCAGAATACAACCTTTGTACAGTGAAAGTGAAAATTAGGAAGAAGGATGACGAGGTACAGACTGAGCAATCACACTCTGACTGTAGAGCCGGGCACAGACAGAACTGGCTGCCCAGAGAGAGACGCAGTCTGCCCGTACTGTGACCAGGGAGAAGTGGAGACAGAGCAACACTTCCTCACCAGCTGCCCCAACTATGAGGACATTAGAGGGACTTTTTATACAACATTTGAAATACTTTGCCCTAACTTCATAAAATTAAACAACAAAACACAATTTCAACATTTATTAGGTGAAAAAAAGAGATTGTATCATACTAGCAGCCAGATACATTGATGCTTGTCACAAAAAGAGAGAGTCGACGACTAATCAGTGATGCGCTCACACACACACACACGCTCGTACACCAAACACGAAAACACTTACACACTGAATTCTAAATTCTTCACAGAATTTTGAAATGTTCATAAACTGTTCTATTTTTATTTTTATTTTCATTTTTTTACACTATTAATTTGTACTATTAATTTAATTTGTACATTTAGATTTAAGTATTTTTTAATATTTTACTATTTTGATGTCTTTATAATTATTCTATGTATTCCAAGCTTTGGTAATATTGTATGATGTACAGTCATGCCAATAAAGCAATTTTGAATTGAATTGAATTGAATTGAATTGAGAGAGATATATTTGCAATTCACAGAGTTCAAAGTTGAAGGGAGAGGAAACAGTCAAGGACTGTGTAACATTAGATTGATCAGAGATGCATCAGAAGAAGCATTTTACAGTATTCCATGTGATACTGTAAAACGGAACTTGTTTGAACTGTGTGAAATAGGATAACTACTCACATTGATGTTGTTCTAAAGGCATATTATCTGCTTTTTTCGGAATCACAAAAAAAATTAATTAAAAAAATGTCCTGCACTCTTTGCTGAATTATTTTGTTTTTCGTTTTTTTTGGAAAAAATAAAAAATAAAATAAATATATACTTTCAATATTA